TGTCATTTTTTTCCTTTTCGTTTTTCAGCGGCTGATTCTCCAACATGCAAGGCCAAAGTGACCCTGTTTAATGCAGTGAGAACAGGAGCGGGGACTTGGGAAGACGTGCGTCTCACATCTAAATTCTTCCCCAACTTGTACTGTATCTGGAGGATGTCTCACTCGCTCAGTGTGTGTGAAAAGCCTGTGTGGCTTGTGCACATGTGTGTGTGTGTGGTTCATGTTTGGTCTCTATAGCTTCAATTACAGAGGCAGATGTGTGCAGGGCTTTTCTGAACACTTGTGTCTGCATGACTAATATGAAAATGGGGATGGCTTGTTTTTGTGAAAGGAGAACAGGGACATCTTAATTCAACCAAATTTCTCTCAAAGACCCTGCAGGCAGCAGATTTAGATTTGAATCAACAATACCTCACACACCTAACTCATCTACCACTTTATAGACTTTCCAAGATGAGATTCTGGAAAATCTGACTGCATAAAAGCAGGACATAGCTTCCAATTTCTCACAAATTAAACTTCACTTTCGGACAATCATCCGTTCCTTGAACAATTTATTATCCCACTGTCATTTCCCGTCAAGCCCATAATACAAGTAACTGCAAAATTACCGCTGCAGTAATCAGACATCCCGAGGCAAACTGGGCTCCCTGGTCTGCCTTGTCGCATGCAAATTTAATACAGTTTTATTGGTGCACACGATGAGTGTTACTCCTCTGAATGAATCACTCACTCAGGGATTTCATTCAGTTTCATTACCAGACTTGAGATTTCATCACTGTAAATGCAAACAGGTCTCCATGTAGTTGGTGCATCTGTCACCCATTCCTCAGGTGGAACCAGAGGCCAGAGTTTTGCTGTTCTGCCGTGGTTTTCATCTTTTTGGCTTCAAGTCTCTAAAGTCATTTCACAGCCAGAAGCTTCAGATTTACAAAGTTTTAATTAAGAGCCAAACATGACTGCGTTTAAAATCAGAATATGTCGAGAGAGACGAGACGTAGTCCATTTGGTCACATCCTGAAAATAACATGTTTGATCTCACACTGTTAGATCTTAGAATAAGTGTCGTGACTGACTCGGCTACTAAACACCTCAGCTGTAGCTCAGCCTCTGTATAAATATATATGTGCCTGTTAATTAGCTGTGGTGGTAATTTTGTGCAAGATTGGTACCAGTTCTAGATGCTGTAGATTTTCATGCAGGGATTATTTTCTGGGAGATTCATTAAAGTCCATCCTGAGGTATTTAGCACACAGACTTGACTCCAGCAGCAAAGACGTAACCAAAATGCAAAGTTTAAAACATGTGACTCTCAGCTAATGTAAACATTTAAAATTTTCATTTTCTTTTCCTAAAATTGACCTGGAAAATCTATGGTGGCCATCTTGAATCGGTTGATGCCATCGTTTCCGGATGTGTGTGATAATTGCTGATTTCAGAAAGGTTCAGTGAAATCTGGTTAGCGGACAGGGTCGGCTCTGACAAGGAACTTGACTCAGTAACAAATATCCTAAAGTGTGTTTGCACTTACATTCAGCTGAAGGACTCAGCTGCATTACTGTGTGTGTGTGTGTGTGTGTGTGTGTGTGTGTGTGTGTGTGTGTGTGTGTGTGTGTGTGTGTGTGTGTGTGTGTGTGTGTGTGTGTGTGTGTGGCATGCTATGGGCACCAAAATTAAGACTACTGCCCAGCAGCAGGAGGCTATATAAATTCTGAAGCAAACTACCCACCTGATTAATGATAAGCTGGCGCCGGTAACAGAGAGGCTGGTGCTGCTTACTGAGAAGTAGCACCTTTACTGGCGTTACTACTAGATACGCTAGGGACTAGCAGCCCTCGGCTGGTCATTGACTGGTTCACACACTCCCTCTGCTGTCTATTAGCATGGATAGGCTAGCGTTAGCCTGGATGGGCTGGTGTTAGCATTGGAGAGGCTAGCCATTAGCGTGCCTAGGCTGGCCACTAGCTGGATTTTCTACCCCCTTGACGGACCATTAGCATGGATAGGCTGGTGTTAGCATCTGAGAGGCTAGCCATTAGCGTGCCTAGGCTGGCCACTAGCTGATTTGTGACTCTCCGAGACATGCTAATGGCTAGCCTCTCCGATGCTACTGCCAGCCTATCCATGCCTAAGGTCCGTCAAGGGGGTAGGAAATCCAGCTAGTGGCCAGCCTAGGCACGCTAATGGCTAGCCTCTCCAATGCTAACACCAGCCCGTCCATGCTAATGCTAGCCTATCCATGCTAATAGACAGCAGAGGGAGTGTTTGAACCAGTCAATGACCAGCCGAGGGCTGCTAGTCCCTAGGTATCTAGTAATAACGTCGGTAAAGGTGCTATTCCTCAGTAAGCAGCACCAGCCTCTCAGTTACCGGCGCCAGCTTATCATTAATCAGATCAGTAGTTTGCTTCAGAATTTATATAGCCTCCTGCTGCTGGGTAGTAGTCTTTATTTTGGCCCCCATACAGCGCCATATGTGTGTGCGCAGATAAGAGAATGAACATCACTACTTACTTTTTTCTTTCCTCTGAGGTTGATTCACTTAATTCTTGAAATCAGAAGCAGAAATGTTACAAGAGTTGTAATTTTTGTTATCAATCTGAAAGTGAAACGATTGTGTCCCCATTTACAAAACTCTTGATGTGTGCTTTATTACACAGCATTAAGTTGTTAATGTGTTTTTATTAGTGAGTGTCATTTTCCTGCCAAAGCAGCAGCTTCCCCCATCTCCACGGAGATTGCTGTGATTATTGTTTTAGTCTCTGCTCAGTGATAAAGCCTCTTCCAGGCCCCTCGATGCTGCAAAGCACCATAAGTAGAAAGAGACATCCAAAAGACTTAGTGCCACTGGCGACAAACCCCTCTGCTTCATGCTCATTACTTTTGAGACCCTCCCTGTTGTAAGAAGGGAATCTGACAAATTCCAGACTCCAATTAGACTCTAGTTTAATTACTTCAATTTATCGAGATATTAATTCATATTCCTCTCTTCAAACTAGTGCTAATCCCTGCCAGATGAATTGTCACCCATAAAGTCTTTACAGTTCATATTTTAAAAGCCCACTTGCTTTAGAGTAACAACGATTTTGTGAATTTGGGGCTTAAGATTGAAATAATACATCATAATGAAATAAGGACAAGGAACATCGCCAAGAAATTGTTGTCATATTTTATAATTTCAGCTTTCTGTATTGCAAAGGGAATTCTGCTGGACTTAAAATCATTGAATGTGTTAATTTCTGTATTCCCAAGTAAATGTAGCTTATTTTAAAAGTACCCTAAAGCTGGAGTTTATTTGATGGTAAATGGCCTGTATTTGTGTAGTGCCTAGGGTTCTACAACCCCCCCAAGGTGCTTCACAACACAATCTGTCATTCACACATTCACACGCTAGTGGGGATGAGCTGCATCGTAGCTACAGCTGCCCTGGGGCACACTGACAGAGGCGAGGCTGCCGAGCACAGGTGCCACCGGTCCCTCCGACCACCACCATAGTCAAGGTGTGTTAAGTGTCTTGCCCAAGGACACAACAGCAGAATTGTATGGTCGGAGCCGGGATCGAACCTGCAACCATCCAATTACTGGGCAACCCGCTCTACCTCCTGAGCTGCTGCTGTCCCACAATATGTATATAATTATAGTGAATTAGGTGTCAAATTGCATTGGATATTAAAGGGTGTAACTAATAAATTAATGAGCGAGCTAACATCTTCACATTTGAACCAATCTCTGCATTTTAAGGTTATTTCAGAAGTTTGTCAGTTGAACACATTTTGGTACTGAATGATGATCTCTGCTGAACTGACTCCACTCTACATCCAACCAAGTACCACTCTTCTGCACAGTCCACATGCATTTATAGCAATTTGTAAAGCTATAGTGGCAAATTTCAAGAACACATTAGCTTAAGTTAAAACATCTTTTCATGCCTCTAAAAAAGTTCTAACATAATAATAATAATAACAACAATAACAACAACAACAATAATAATAATAATAATAATAATAATAATAATAATAATAATGATAATAATAATAATAATAATAATAATAATAATAATAATATATATATATGACTATCCCTGGGTCCTCCATTCATTACACAATCACGCATTTTACCCCAGAACACAATGGGGAGAGTTTCAATGCTCAATAATATCAGAGAAGGATGAACAGACGGCTGCTACCACTTCCACTTTCAGACAGACTACAAGAAAAAAATAAATATACACCATTTGAAGTCATGGACAACAAAAGAGGTTTGGACCTAAAACGGCGGCTGTTGCTTTGCGCTCTCTATATTCTTTCAGCACTGTGGATTTCCAGTTCCGGCAGAAGCGCCTAATTTTGTGACTGTTTTTATATTCAAACTCCAGCTTTTTTGCATATTTGTTTTAAGCTTTCAATTAAAGTTATTTATTTATTTGTTTAAGTTTCAACATTTAAATGTTGCTGGGGCTAATACAACTTATTTAATCATATATATATATATATATATATATATATATATATATATATATATATATATATATATATATATAATTGATTAATTAATTACTTAATTGGGGGGGGGGGTATTGTTTGTAATTTTTGCTGTGAATTGTGGCTATTTTTTATAATTAAAAAATGTACTACTTTACCTTGCAAAGCAAGATTAAAGCCAGCAAACTTGTTATATTATGGTAACTCCATACCTAAAAGGGTAAACTTGAGCATTACGCACGTTTGTGCATTTTTGGTCAAACTTAGAGCCACGTTGTTGGATCTGCAGGGCCACATGCGGCCCCAGAGCCATAGCTTGCAGACCTTTGATCTAAAATTCATCGAAAATGCAAAATTTAATCTGATTCAAACGTTTATTTGTTCGACCTGCAAATATGTAACCAACTTTAAAATTGGGTCTAGAGTGTTTAAAAGTAGCCAGCAGGAGTCAGACCACCTCTGTTGGTTCGGATAAGCAGCTGGTTGGGGGGGGGGGGGGGGGGGGGGGAGGACCTAAGCGGAAGTAAGGAGTGAAGCGGAGCAGGAAAACCTTTTGAAACTCAGAGAAACCCAGAGAAACTCAGATGTTGACATCACACCGGAGCTGCGTGATGAGAGGAAAAAACGTTTTCTCCATCGAGTAACAAAAGTTTGAGCGCCACCACGGAGAGACAACATGGGACTTCCAGCTCTGGAGTTCAGCGACTCTTTTGTGGACAGTCCAGACTTCAGAGAGCGCATCAAATACCATGAAATAGAGCTGGAGCGAACCAACAAGTTCATCAAAGAGCTCATCAAGGATGGAAACACGCTGATCACCGCGCTCAAGAGTGAGTCCAAACGCGTCTGTTCCTGCTTCTGCGCGTCCAGAAATAACGAGCCGAATCTCAGCCTCGCAATCAGAGCTGCATTCATTACAGCTCCCTTCTTCTGAGTGGTCCTTCTCTCAGCTCTGCTTAGAAACACGGGTACTGCTGCTAACGAGCGCAAATCTGCACAAAAACCTGAAAACACTGCAGTTATTACACTCCTGCTGACATATGCAGAGGCTTGTTTAAGGATCACAACCACAGTTTTATTCTAACACCCAGAAAGAAAACCACACTGAGGATGCCGTTAGTGCAGACAGATCGCTGCTACCTCACTTTCTTTATGACAGGAACGTATTCTCATCCATCAGAGGCAGAAACACAGATTTGTCACTTTTTCCCCGGTCATTGTCGACTAATCCCAAAATTCAGTCTCAAATTCCAACACACTGAGCTCGACTTCCTGTCCCTCTTATGTGCTCATGGGAATGCCAGTTTAGCCTCTTAACAGGAGAAGTGTGTCTGTTAAATTGAGGAAGATTAAAAATATAGGTCTTATAAATATAGAAAACAGCTGTACAGGGGTGAAAAAGCATCATCGCCTATCTATCACTCAGCTCAAACACCTTTGATCCTCAGTTTATTCTAATAGGGTCTTAAAATTGCATTCACCATTATAAATGCATAATTACTTTGGCCTTGTTTAGTAATCATATATAAAACAGTACATGTTAGCGCCTTGCTGCTCAGCCAGTTGAGGCAGTGAAGCAATAATCCCATTAAAGCTGCAACGCTTAACTGTTTATGCAGCAGACTTTAATGTTGAGGGTTTTTATTATTATTATTTTTTTACAGATATTTAACTAGAAGTCAGTGGACTTACTTCACATTCTGCTCTATTTCTGTCCCAATCAAATCGAATTTAGGCAAATGTGCGCCACCGACCGTAGCTCCTCATGGCTCTCGAGAGCAAACGATTGCAGCAATCAGGAGTTTATTACAAGGCTCACAGCACGACTTTCGTCCAGCCGACTTTCTGCTTTCTTACAAAATAGTTCTGATGTATGTAAATAGTTCAGTGATTACACATGTTTGAAGTGCGGGCTGTGAAGAGTTTTCTGCAGTTCCTTTACGGTTCGGTCATGAAAACACACAACTCATCTAGATTTTCTCCTTTCAGAACACTCAGCTTCTGCATACATGAGGGCCATTTAGTCCGTTTTGGTTTGATGTCTCATTCTGCGCTGAATTCCTGGACATCTTTAATGGAAGACGTTTTTTTTAGAGCAGTCACGTTGAATGATCATCATTTCACATTGTTTAATCAATACATGCACAGTTGTTTCTAGGGCTGAACGATTTTGGAAAATAATCTAATTGCGATTTTTTTTCAATATTGCAATTGAGATTTAATTCATAATTATTTTCTCAAGGGACTTTTCTCATTTTTCAACTAACAGAAGCAAAAAAAAATCAATGTAAGTTGTACTGAATATAAACAAGTTTATTTATCTACATATTATATCAACAAGTTTATTTATCTACATATAAATAAACAGTCACAAGTGAAGACAACATTTTGTATGTGAAGGTGCAAATTTTGCAGCCAGGAGCACATCCCTTGAAGGAGAATAGGTATTAGCATCAACTGTGAAAATATTTGCAGGAAAGAAGTGTGTCCTGTCTTTTGTGTTTAGAGTTTTTGATGTTTTGTCCATGCAGAGCTTCCGTAGTTCAGTTACGTTCATAGCTGCTAGCCAAAACTCAGTGGAGTTAAAGTTTCTTACGGGTTTCTAGCTTTACTAAAATATCTGTATTTATTTGATTGATGGCAGTTTTTACTTTTTATTAGACTCCAAATGTAATCATTTGGCACGTTCCTAATTCGTAACTTGTAAGAATGTAATCTGCAATATTAGCATTATCATCCCTTTGGGTTTTTCCATGTATATTAGCATTGTGCTAACCACTCGCTACCAGTCAAATCGCAGCCTTTGCAATTAGAAAATCGTATTCTGTCACATCGCAATTTAATTGCATATGCAATTAATCATTCAGCCCTAGTTGTTTCTGGTAGAAATTATGCCTTGCAAGCTGTACTCAGGGCAAAAAATGTGCAGAATTGTTCAGATTAGCATGGACAAGTCTGCTGCAGCAGAGAGAAGCAGCAGACAGCAGGATTTGGAGTCATATTTCTTGAAATTTGAACATGTTGCCTCAGATTGGATAACAGCAATGAGACTACCACTGACTTTCAAAGTGGATCTTTACAAATAACACAAACCTGGAGGAGTTTCTTTGTGCGGTAGTGTTGCTAATGCTAACAGTTAGCTTTTACTAGTTGAGATGTTCTCTGCTGTTTCCTGGATGCTAAACCAACAGCAGCCTTCCCCGTTGTGAGTAAAAATGAGCGAGTCCATGAATGTTAAGTGACAGTGTGACGTAGATCTGTCAGGATTTTCTAATCCTAGAGTTTCACAGTCTAGTTTCAATCACAAGCTCATGCAGAAGCTAGGTGTAGGAGACTATTTTCATGTTCAGCCTGCATGAAAAACTCAGAGTGACTGATCACAATCGGGAAAATGCTTTTTCAATGTACCACACCTTTAACATTTAAACAGTTGCCCTTATGAGACCAGTTTGTACTTGTTCAGTGTACAAAAATATGTTAAAGCACTGAAGTTTATTATTTAAAAGAAACAAGGGATGGATGGTGGATGATACTCATAACACATCAGGAGTGAAGACTGTTGTCGTTACTTAGGGCATTCTTAGCAATATTAAAGAAGAAAATGTGACAAGTCAAAAAAAAATGTAAGCATTTTTGAGGCTTCGGCATGCATTCCTATCTACAGATAATTCCCCCTGCTTCTTCAGATTTTCTGTGTTAACCAGGGTGCTGTTCAGTCTTCCACAAGATGTCTTCTCGATGATTTCAGTTCTGCAGTGCATGCGTCAAAACAGCTACTGTCAAAACTTTGCCTGCAGCTCTGTTTGGTTGCATCACCAATACAACGGCTCTCTGAACTACATACACAGTGCAGGACTATCCATTTTGGTGCACCACCAAAATTGTTAGCACTTTTCTTTTTTAAACGTTGGTCATCCCATTTGGGAGGGCCTAGTTCTTCTTGTTCTAGTACTCATGCACAGTAGAAGAAAAAAAGCCAGAATTTGGCGACTTATCACTGTTGTAGTTGGAAACAAGAAATACTCAAGGAATTAATCAAAGTCAAAAGGTGTGGGGAAGCCTGATTAATCAATACATTTGCAGTGGTCACTGCCTTGCAAGCCGAACTCGGGGCAAAAAATGCCCAGAAATGCCTGCATCAGCTGGGAAAAGTCTACCACATCAGAGGAAAGCTTAACGTGGGCTCTTATTTCCTGATATTTGGACATCTTACCCAGGATTGCTCTGTGACAATGATGCTTTATCTACTCAAATAACACAAGCCTGGAGGAGCTTCCGCCCTGTGGTTGAGTTGCTAATGCTAATGGTTAGCTTCTGCTAGACGAGATGTTCTCTGCTGATTCTGGGCACTAAAGCAACAGCTTTAATCGTCATGCGCCGTAATGGGTGAGTCCAAGCTACTGCTTGACATTGATCTGTCAGACCTTTCAAATTCTAGTGTTTCATCTATTCTCTATCAGATGCTAATGCAGGATATAGGTGTAGGAGACTATTGTCATCTTTAGCCTGCAAAAAAGATACATCTCATCTTTTTCCATCCCCTAGAAGTCTTTTTCTCTCAATCCCTCCCCCTCACCACCTGCTCTGCAGTCTCGCCATGTTCTCCCTCCTGATTTATGCACAGATGTATATTGATGTTTTTCGCTATTGCTATGGGACAACTTTGCCATGATCAGCTGGTCCCTGGTGTAAACACGGAGTGTGTTGTTGCTTGGCAACAGCATTGTTCTGAAATAAAGCAGTAATGCCATGGTTGGAAAAAAAGTCAAGGGTTGGCAGGGCCAAGAAAGAACATCACCAGAAAGTTTGACTTAAAGAAAGTTAGAGAAAGAGCATTGGCACATTGCAATAAAAACAATCAGAACTGTTTATTTTAATATTGTGATAGCATGGCATCAATATCTGTTGTCATATTTTACTGTTGTTTATGTATTATTTTCATTCTTTAGTGTTTCCTCATAGATTAAGGATAGGGTTTCCTCCACTGCAGGTCTGCTCCTGTTATTACATCTCAGTAGGAGTGTGTTGGGCTGCATTACTTGTGTTTCTGTACCTGGATGTGCTGTTCTGCTGGCTCAACATTTAGATTGAAGAACAGACATGGTGGCAGGTGCGTGTGAGTGTCTTTTTCACAAGTGAAAATATCTGGATCTGCGTTTTTAGTCGGGATTCAACTCCGTGAATCCAGGTTGGCGTCTGTATGCCATTAGCTGTAATGAGTCACTGCCTAAGATGAGGTGTGCATCTGAAAATGTTCGTTTGCATGTTCTTCCTATAATTAATTGTTCTGCACAGAAATATAAATTGCATTAATAGTCTCTAGTTGATGTCAGTGATGGTAACAAACATCAGCACTAAACTAGACATTTTTATATCTCATGTACTTTGCAGGCAGTGCAGTTCTCAGTTATCTTCAGTGCTGCAGAAATGCAAACATTAAAACCACTAATTTACTAGTAAATTAGATGGATTGTTGTAAACCTATTTTAAACTTATTTATTCTTTTTTTTATTAGATTATAATTATACTGATAATAAAATAGGCTTTAGTTGTAATTTAAAGTTTTATGCTAAATTAAATCATCCATGACGTGTTTCCACTAAAGGGGTTCTTGGAAATTTTGTCGGCTGGGGGGAGGGCAGGTAATATTTGATGGCTCAGTCCTCAGATGTCGTTTCTCTATACAAAATTGACCCTTTCAGGACTTTGCCAAAATATCAGAATATCGTGATAATTTCAGCAGTGACCGTGACATTAATAACATATGACAATTTAATCCAGTAGGGGGATTGACGCAACAAACAGCATTCAATGATCAGACTACCTGGGC